CTGGGTGGTGTGAAAGTAAGGGGCAAGAAAAGCTTGCTGTGAACAACGGAGGTATGAGTGTTCGTTTAAAAAAAAAAGTTGCAAGGATTGTTTTATAATGGGAAAATACTAGGCAACTGAAGTATCGGGGTTATAATAATATAATAATGGGTATAATAATGGGTACCCTATTAATAATGGGTGGGGTGTGGAAAATTGTGGAGAGTGATTGGCACTCTTAAGTGGCAGCAAACATTAGATTTGTCTATCTGAAACTACCTTCTAGTTGCTAAATATAGTGTTCCCTATAGTAACTGCTATGTCTCCAAGGCTTAAAAAAAATTGCCTTAATGTTACAAATGAAATTGAACTAACTTAATGGATAAGTAGAAAGCACTTTCTTCCTTCTCTGGGTTTTGTGGCATTTACCTACGGTTACATTTGTGCTCTGTGGATTTGTAACCATGCATAGTTGAATCTTTTATTGAATGTAATATGTTAGCATGGTTGATGTATGGAACTGTGGTGGGAAGTGCTTTATGTTGGGGGGAGGGGGAAGGAGAGATGACAATTGTGAAGCATGCACTTGTTCAGGCAGTGTACTTGGAAAGGGGCTGTGAAGTGTAGGAAAAGCTCAAATGGGCATTTATTTATTTATTTTTAATGCTGAAGTTTATTCTACCAAAAGAGAGCATCCTCCAGTTAATGAAAAATGTATTCTTCAAAGCTAACTTTAAACACCATTTGAATAGGCAAAACATTTGAGTTGAACAAACTTTTCTCCTAGAGTGTCTGAATTAATAAAGAATTTTTTCTAGGTCAGGCTGGGGAATTAATTGGCTCTTTTTCACAGTGTGCCCTTATTACTTTTGCCAGATAATATTCTGAAGAACTCTATGCTTTTTAATCGTGTTTTAACATGGTAGGGAATAGGGCTGTGCAAACTAGTCCCAAACAATTTGAATCTTGCCTGTCTTGTTGTCAAACAACTTAAATTTTTAAGAATTTACTAGCTTTAAATTTTTGATAAATTTCAGTCAGTGGATTGCTTGAAATACTGTTTCATGTGCACTGTTCAATGCATTATTACCTTGGTTGATCACCTTGATTATATGGTACTTCTGTTCCTCTAAAATGGAGAAGGCATTTTGTTGATTCTCTCAAGACAAGAGTCAGGGATTACTGTGACTGAAAACATTGTAGCCTGAGAGAGGCTAGCCTTCACCTTTCTCATCCAAGTAAAACAGGCAGTATCTGCCCTGGTCTATTCTACAAACTTATGTCAGTATAACTGCATAGTTCAGAGGTGTGGAAAATCCCTGCCCCTGTGTGACAGATTGACCTAACTCTCTGTGTAGACGGTGCTATGTCACCTGGAGGGCTTCTCCCATCAATATAGCTACTGCTTCTTGGGGTGGTGAAGTGCCTGCGCTGATGGGTTAAGCTCTCCTGTTGGCAAAGACAGTGTTTTCACTAAGCGCTACACGCTGTGCCGCTGGGAGTCCCCTTCTTCCAAGGTCATGTTACCTCCCTCACCACACTTTGAGCAGAGGAAAAATCCTAGAGTTCTTCAAGGAAAGAGCACCCACTCCCCTCCACCTCCTGCTGCTGTTCTGGGGGTGGCTGCTCTACATCCTGGTAAATGCTTCCTCTATCAAGGCCTCCAGTTCATACTTGTGAAGAGCCCAGTATTTTGAGGTGCCCACTCTATCCCCCATTGTTACCTACCTTTCAGAGGGGTTGCAGGGCTAAGATCTCTACCCACTCAGAAGCAAACACTTCTATCAGGTATGTCAATTTTAGGATGGCTGCTGCACTGCTTCTGCCTTAAATTTATTTTTGGTAAGGAACCCAGCAAAATCCTAGACTTTTTTCACAAAACCTATGTAAAGAAAACTTCACTCCTATGAAGGTTTGCAAAAAGCAAACACAAAAGGTACATATATAGCAAATAGGTATTTTGTTTCTAAATCACTGCAGTGTTGGCAAATAGGTTCCTGACTGTTATCCCAGCTGTGGCAGTGAAAATGCATCATGTGCCTCAACTCAAATCACATGAAACTCTCTGTGTGGGGTAGAGATTGATTTGTAAGCTTCTGTCATGTTTCTTGTTACTGACTAATAAATGCCTATCTTGCCCCTTCTTCCTGCCCACAAACCTACACGCTCCTACTCTATTATACAAATTAGAACAGTTCTTCCTTGGACACGGGAAATAAAGTGAAGTTGCATTATGTGGGATCTCTATGGTATGCATCTCATTCATTCAAACATCTTCCACAAATGCACATTTGTGGATTATCTCAAGGTTACTTTTTGTCAGACATCCTGAATTCTAGTACTACGATCCTCTCTTAGATCCAAATTACAAATTGGCTGAACAAGAACTAATGTGGCTATTCACTAAAGGTTTGGGGGTTTTCTTTGACTTCCTCTGTTTTATTAAACCGTATGTATCGTCCAAAATACTTGAGGTGGCAGTTTAAACCGCTATGTCCCCAAGGCAATGTATGGATGCTTTTGTTAATATGCAAGTGAAGGCAGCTTCTTTACCTAGAGACAGTAGAGACAAATGAATAATCTGGACCATTCAAATAATGAAACGAGAGAGGTGTTAAAAATAATGGAAGAACCAACACAATGGGTCATTTGAAACACTTTGCTATGATGCTCTCAAATTAAATAATCCAGGTTAGCAATGGCTGCTTCATAGCTCTCTCTCTCTCCACCATGCTATAAACGGAGATCAGAGTTCTGCATAACAACACCAGTGATGTTACCCGCTGGCTCTCTGCCTGCTCCTTTGTATTGTTTTAGTGATCGTAACCATCACTACTTACCCTTCCCTCAAAATACAGAACTATGCCAGGCAAATATATTCAGTGGCTTTCAGCTGACATGGTACTGATAAAAATTCAAATGTTTAACTTGCATTTCCAAAGGAAGGGGCTATTGTAACTTAGGAGGAATAAAGACAGATTTAAAAGAACCCTAATGCTGTTAAATGACAACTTTCTTCCTAAAGTAGCATATGAAATCAGGATCAGTTACAAGCAATAGTCAGGAATTTTTGTCCATTTGGGGAAATTATGCAGTGTTGTAGCCATATCAGTCCCAGGATATTAGAGAGACAAGGTGGATGAGGTAGTATCTTTTAGTGGACCAGCTTCTGTTGGTGAGAGACAAGATTTCAAGCTTACACGGAGATCATCTTCAGTTGAGTGTGTGGCAATGTCTGTTTGAAGGTGAAAAGCTCAGTTTAAAAATGAATTCTGATCAGCAACCATCCCAGGCAGATGAATGGAGTTGGCAAACTGTTCAAGTCTTTTGAAGATGGGGCTAATTTATGTAAATACTCACTTTACACAACTGTTTGTTACATAACAAAGGTTCAGTGGCTTCACTCATAGTTCACTTGCAGACAGGGATGGCAGGTTTGTATTAATTTTTGGTGGTGCCCAGAACAGGTCCAAGTCCACCCCCCTCACCACACACACACACCTGCATATTGGTGCACATAACAAAATTAATGGGGTGGGGCTGAGGGGTTTGGAGTGTGAGAGGGGGCTCAGGGCTGGGGCAGACGGTTGGGGTGTTGGGGGATGAGTGTTTTGGGATGTGGGAGGGGGCTCAGGGCTAAGGCAGAGGGTTGGGCTCTGGGGTGGGGCCAGCAATGAGAGATTCATGGTGCAGGAGGCGGCTCAGGGAGAGGCAAAGGGGTGGGGTGTGGGCTCTGGTTGGGGTGGGGCTGGATATGAGGAGTTTGGGGTGCAGGCAGGCTGCCCCAGGACTGGGGCCAGAGAGGACTCCACAGTCCCCCCAGCAGCATAGGCACCACAGGCCCATATAACTCCCTGCCCCTGCTTGCAGAATTCCAAATGGATACAGTGCCTAAAACCAGAGTGCAAGTGTTAATCATTCAGTAACTCAACCTCCCTTGCTCTTGATGAATGAAAGGTAATTGTAAAGATGTAGCAATATGACAGCTACAGAACTTCAAGGCATTCTGATTGGAATACTGAAGTAGTTGGACTAGTAGTACACTTTAGGGATCCTGACTAAGATACTGCAACTTATTTCACATGGTTCAAGCAAAGCTGTGACACTGACAAGCATTTCATATAATGCATGTACAAAAACTTGTAACTCCCATGCTGCTGTTACACACTCTGCCAAGAGCACAAATTTTTGGGGAAGGAAGGTATTTAAATCAAGTATACTTTCTATACACTATCACTTCCATTTCTCTTCGTGCGTGTGTGCGCAGAAAGGGCACAACAGTCAACACCAACAACTATGTCTCCCCCAAGATTACACCTGTCACTTCTGTGGGAAAATCTGCAGGGCACGAATTGGGCTCCTAAGCCACTTAAAAACCCACCAGTGAACCCCCTTGGCAGACATCATCCTTGCATTGAGGGATAGCCAAAGAATAAGATATAAAATTCTTGCCTCCAACTAATCCAAGGTTTAGTATCCTTTTAGCTAGGTCTCTGTTTAAATAGCTTAGATAAGCCTTTAATTTTCTTTAATAAGCCTTGAGACTGCATGGAAATGAAACCTTATCCAATGGTATTCAGTGGTCAGCCTTCGCTATCCAGACTATACTCTGCTGCCATGACTCAAATGTACTACTTTATTTTCCCTTATAATCATGCTACTTGTATGCAGATGACGGTTTATATGGCAGAGCTTGTTCAGCTGGTCATGCTACCAATAGAAAAATGCGTGTGTGTGTGTGGGGGGGGGGGGTGTATGTGCCCTTTTGCTCTGAGTTGTGAACATTTATATACAGATTTGCTGTGGTAGAATTAATAAGTATAGATACTTGAATGGAAAGCAGATGTTCAAAGTACCTTTTAAATGGGGGGAGGGGGAGGAAAGAAATTTAGTTCTTTGTTAAACTGGATTAATGGAAACATTAAGAAACATTCTGTATTTCTAAAAGATTGCTTTCCATTCTCCATGCTGCCTGCAACTATCTCATAATAATCTTATTGTATTTCTGCTCTATTCTTTAGAATGTAGCCTAATATACCATGAGTTTCAAAAATCCTGGATTAACTGGCTAAAGCAGTCATGTAACAGTGAGCATAACTGGCAATGCAGTACTCCATTGTTTGAAAGTACACAAGAATGTATGTTCTAAATTCAATTTACTCCTGTTTCATTTCTTCTTGGAAAACATAGTTTACACACCCATTGCTAGGCTTGGTATCGTGGTAATGCATGGGTCGCTGGGAAACTGCATATTAGCTGCTGGAAAATATATCTTAAATGATTCATAGAATGTTACCAATGATTTCTGAGGGGACGAAAGGCTAATAGTGGGTACACTGGAAGGGCAGTGGAGGGTGAGAAAACCTGGATTTGTGCTGGAAATGGCCCAACCTGATGATCACTTTAGATAAGCTATTACCAGCAGGACAGTGGGGTAGGAGGAGGTATTGTTTCATATTCTCTGTGTGTATATAAAGTCTGCTGCAGTTTCCACGGTAAACATCTGATGAAGTGAGCTGTAGCTCACGAAAGCTCATGCTCAAATAAATTGGTTAGTCTCTAAGGTGCCACAAGTACTCCTTTTCTTTTTGAGTATACAGAAGCTTGTCCAACTAGCATTTTGATGATGATGTGGAGAAATCGCTTTTCTCTGGTCTATTATCTCTGTGTAATTAACATGTTAAATAGGTATTCATCTTTAGGGACATAGGATTTCAGTTTATACCTTGGAAAAAGTAAAAAGAAAAGGAGTACTTGTGGCACCTTAGAGACTAACCAATTTATTTGAGCATGAGCTTTCGTGAGCTACAGCTCACTTCATCAGATGTTTACCGTGGAAACTGCAGCAGACTTTATATACACACAGAGAATATGAAACAATACCTCCTCCCACCCCACTGTCCTGCTGGTAATAGCTTATCTAAAGTGATCAACAGGTGGGCCATTTCCAGCACAAATCCAGGTTCTCTCACCCTCCACCCCCCCACACAAATTCACTCTCCTGCTGGTGCTAGCCCATCCAAAGTGACAACTCTTTACATAATCAAGTCGGGCTATTTCCTGCATAGATCCAGGTTTTCTCACATCCCCCCCACCCCCATACACACACAAACTCACTCTCCTGCTGGTAATAGCTCATCTAAACTGACCACTCTCCAAGTTTAAATCCAAGTTAAACCAGAACATCTGGGGGGGGGGGGGGGTAGGAAAAAACAAGAGGAAACAGGCTACCTTGCATAATGACTTAGCCACTCCCAGTCTCTATTTAAGCCTAAATTAATAGTATCCAATTTGCAAATGAATTCCAATTCAGCAGTTTCTCGCTGGAGTCTGGATTTGAAGTTTTTTTGTTTTAAGATAGCGACCTTCATGTCTGTGATTGCGTGACCAGAGAGATTGAAGTGTTCTCCGACTGGTTTATGAATGTTATAATTCTTGACATCTGATTTGTGTCCATTTATTCTTTTACGTAGAGACTGTCCAGTTTGACCAATGTACATGGCAGAGGGGCATTGCTGGCACATGATGGCATATATCACATTGGTGGATGTGCAGGTGAACGAGCCTCTGATAGTGTGGCTGATGTTATTAGGCCCTGTGATGGTGTCCCCTGAATAGATATGTGGGCACAATTGGCAACGGGCTTTGTTGCAAGGATAAGTTCCTGGGTTAGTGGTTCTGTTGTGTGGTATGTGATTGTTGGTGAGTATTTGCTTCAGGTTGCGGGGCTGTCTGTAGGCAAGGACTGGCCTGTCTCCCAAGACTTGTGAGAGTGTTGGGTCATCCTTTAGGATAGGTTGTAGATCCTTAATAATGCGTTGGAGGGGTTTTAGTTGGGGGCTGAAGGTGACCGCTAGTGGCGTTCTGTTATTTTCTTTGTTAGGCCTGTCCTGTAGTAGGTAACTTCTGGGAACTCTTCTGGCTCTATCAATCTGTTTCTTTACTTCTGCAGGTGGGTATTGTAGTTGTAAGAAAGCTTGACAGAGATCTTGTAGGTGTTTGTCTCTGTCTGAGGGGTTGGAGCAAATGCGGTTGTATCGCAGAGCTTGGCTGTAGACGATGGATCGTGTGGTGTGGTCAGGGTGAAAGCTGGAGGCATGCAGGTAGGAATAGCGGTCAGTAGGTTTCCGGTATAGGGTGGTGTTTATGTGGCCATTGTTTATTAGCACTGTAGTGTCCAGGAAGTGGATCTCTTGTGTGGACTGGACCAGGCTGAGGTTGGTGGTGGGATGGAAATTGTTGAAATCATGGTGGAATTCCTCAAGGGCTTCTTTTCCATGGGTCCAGATGATGAAGATGTCATCAATATAGCGCAAGTAGAGTAGGGGCTTTAGGGGACGAGAGCTGAGGAAGCGTTGTTCTAAATCAGCCATAAAAATGTTGGCATACTGTGGGGCCATGCGGGTACCCATAGCAGTGCCGCTGATCTGAAGGTATACATTGTCCCCAAATGTGAAATAGTTATGGGTAAGGACAAAGTCACAAAGTTCAGCCACCAGGTTAGCCGTGACATTATCGGGGATAGTGTTCTTGACGGCTTGTAGTCCATCTTTGTGTGGAATGTTGGTGTAGAGGGCTTCTACATCCATAGTAGCCAGGATGGTGTTATCAGGAAGATCACCGATGGATTGAAGTTTCCTCAGGAAGTCAGTGGTGTCTCGAAGGTAGCTGGGAGTGCTGGTAGCGTAGGGACTGAGGAGGGAGTCTACATAGCCAGACAATCCTGCTGTCAGGGTGCCAATGCCTGAGATGATGGGGCGCCCAGGATTTCCAGGTTTATGAATCTTGGGTAGTAGATAGAATATCCCAGGTCGGGGTTCCAGGGGTGTGTCTGTGGGGATTTGATCTTGTGCTTTTTCAGATTGATAGAAACAGATTGATAGAGCCAGAAGAGTTCCCAGAAGTTACCTACTACAGGACAGGCCTAACAAAGAAAATAACAGAACGCCACTAGCGGTCACCTTCAGCCCCCAACTAAAACCCCTCCAACGCATTATTAAGGATCTACAACCTATCCTAAAGGATGACCCAACACTCTCACAAGTCTTGGGAGACAGGCCAGTCCTTGCCTACAGACAGCCCCGCAACCTGAAGCAAATACTCACCAACAACCACATACCACACAACAGAACCACTAACCCAGGAACTTATCCTTGCAACAAAGCCCGTTGCCAATTGTGCCCACATATCTATTCAGGGGACACCATCACAGGGCCTAATAACATCAGCCACACTATCAGAGGCTCGTTCACCTGCACATCCACCAATGTGATATATGCCATCATGTGCCAGCAATGCCCCTCTGCCATGTACATTGGTCAAACTGGACAGTCTCTACGTAAAAGAATAAATGGACACAAATCAGATGTCAAGAATTATAACATTCATAAACCAGTCGGAGAACACTTCAATCTCTCTGGTCACGCAATCACAGACATGAAGGTCGCTATCTTAAAACAAAAAAACTTCAAATCCAGACTCCAGCGAGAAACTGCTGAATTGGAATTCATTTGCAAATTGGATACTATTAATTTAGGCTTAAATAGAGACTGGGAGTGGCTAAGTCATTATGCAAGGTAGCCTGTTTCCTCTTGTTTTTTCCTACCCCCCCCCCCCCCCAGATGTTCTGGTTTAACTTGGATTTAAACTTGGAGAGTGGTCAGTTTAGATGAGCTATTACCAGCAGGAGAGTGAGTTTGTGTGTGTATGGGGGTGGGGGGGATGTGAGAAAACCTGGATCTATGCAGGAAATAGCCCGACTTGATTATGTAAAGAGTTGTCACTTTGGATGGGCTAGCACCAGCAGGAGAGTGAATTTGTGTGGGGGGGTGGAGGGTGAGAGAACCTGGATTTGTGCTGGAAATGGCCCACCTGTTGATCAATTTAGATAAGCTATTACCAGCAGGACAGTGGGGTGGGAGGAGGTATTGTTTCATATTCTCTGTGTGTATATAAAGTCTGCTGCAGTTTCCACGGTAAACATCTGATGAAGTGAGCTGTAGCTCACGAAAGCTCATGCTCAAATAAATTGGTTAGTCTCTAAGGTGCCACAAGTACTCCTTTTCTTTTTGCGAATACAGACTAACACGGCTGTTCCTCTGAAACCTATCATTATGCTTGGAAAAAGTAATTAGCTAAGTTTGAACTGACATACTAGTTTGAGGAATCCAGTAGTGAAATAAGATCCAATTAAGTAAAGTGGTAAATCCAATTAAAATCTTCATTAGGGCACTCCAGTCTCTGTAGTGAGAAACATGTCACTGATAAATTTTCTGTTGTGAACCAGTCATTTTTTTAACTGTACATGAAGTGCTTTCCCCCCCTTTTTTTCTGATCTTAAGGCCCCATCTATATTTATAGAGCTGTAGCATGTGTGGTGAGGAGGCTCTATGCCAATGGGAGAGAGCTCTCCCATTGGCATAAAAAACCAACCCCCTGAGCCGCAGAAGTTCTGTCGCAGAAACTCTCCCACTGACATAGCACTGGGCACATGAGCACTTACATCAGTGTAACTTACGTTGCACAGGGGGTGTGGAATATGCATACCCCTGAGCAACGTAAGTTTTACCAACATAGGTTACATCTACACTGCCATCTAACTCTAAACTTAACCCTCAGCCTGAGAGGCACTGAATGGTCACTGTAATACTTTCAAGAACTCTTACAGACAGCAGATTGCCTCTTTAGGCAGCCTTAGAGGTGGCACTCTTTTTACAAGTAAATCATATTTTGTGTCATAATCCTGCTGTGTGGAATTTCCACTGCTATCTTTAGTACCTATAATGTAGACAAGCTCTGAAATTATGATTGGATTTAACAAGTCAAATTACTGACTCTTCATTTTTAAATCTTCAGTAACCACTTCTGCAGCCTGTGAGAAATTGGAGAGAGACAGGAATGAATTACAAGCTGCTTATGAAGGGTTTGTGCAGAAGCTAAATCAGCAACATCAAAATGATCTGACAGAGCTGGAGGAAAGACTTAAACAATTTTACACTGGAGAGTGTGAGAAATTACAGAGTATCTGTATTGAAGAAGCTGAAAAATATAAAGCACAACTCCAAGAGCAGGTCTGTGGTATTTGAATTAGAAGAGTTCTCTGGGGCTTTTGAAGCTTTCTTTGAGAGATTAGTAACCCAGCTACATCAAGTTTCATCTTGTACAATTTAACAGGCAGCAAATGTGCTTTACCAATAATTCATTCCTTTCTATGGTAAACAAGTCTCAAAACAAGCATGTTTTTATTCTAATAATGTTACCACTTAGATGATTTACCTTCATCTAAGATTAAACTCAACTTGATCTTGTTAACAAAATGTGTCTCTAAAATGTTTTCCAATGCTTAAATATTAAAGGAGTACTTAAAATACATAGGATAACTAGAAATGTGTTTAAAGTCAGTGTTGGGCTTCTGGAGCCTTAATGGTCATTTAAAGCTTTGAGATACAGCAAAACTGATCTACTTGATACCTTTGCCACCTTGAAAGCATTAAGCCTGTTAAACACCTCACTGCTTTGATCAAATGTCAAGTCTTTCCCACCTACAAAGCACTGCTCATGGTTTACTTCTTGCTATCTTAGACTATTTATCTCTGCTTTTAACTCAGGTTAGCAGCTCAAATTCACCCCCAGGCTCTATTATAGGTTTAACTTGAGCTGCTAACCTGAGTAAAAAGTTGTGCCCCTCCCTGATTTTTTAATCCAAATTAAGAACACACTTTTTTGCACTGTAGAAATACCCTTAGTGCTACATACTCCATTTTATGTGCTGTTGCAACAATTGAGAATAGCCGGGACATTCTAGTTCAGTCACCTGATTTGATTTGATTTGGGAACTGAAGTTGGAGATATTCTAAGTGAGGGGCCTGTTAGCTTCAGAACTTTGTTGCTCTGACAGTTTATTTCACATTCATGGCACCTTCCAAGATTGATTTAGTTAGGCTTTGTTTAAAGAAGGTTCCCTTAGGAGGACACGTTTTTGTTTACTTGGTGAAAGGAGGCAGAAATGTATTAGGTGACTTTCTCCCCCCCCCTCCCCCCCTTAAGGATTACATAGTTGTATAGGAAATTTTTTTTTTAAATCTTACCATCATCTTGCAGGTGGACAACTTAAACATTACGCATGAAAACTTCAAGTTAGAACTCGAAAACAGCCATGCAGAAAAAATAGATAAGCTGAAAAAGGAATATGAATCATCTCTTTCAGGCAAGTGCTTTGTGTTCCTTCATGAAGTGGAACATACACTACCAGATAATTCTCTAACAGTTCTGCATGTTAAGAAATGTCAAATGATTTTTAATTTTTTGAGAGCCAACCTATTCATTCAATATCCGCTGTTCCTGATGATAAACAACCTTTGAAACTGTTAATCAGCTGAAGTTCTCATTTTGGGACTCAATAGTCTTAGTTATTCCTGTATGTAAAATAAATCTCATTGAGTTAAAAATTAGGGTGAGATTTGAAAGCAGTATAAAAGATTTAGACACATTTTCTAATTCTTTAATGAAAGTTGCGTCTACATTTTCTAGGCTGCTTTCAAAATCTCAAGTTCAGTAACTTGATCATTCTGTAGTTTTTGTTGCTAAGTGCTAAGGAGCCCCATAAAATTGGCTTTCTTTAAAATCCAAATACAGTGAAGACACAGTTATTCCCATTCTGACCTGGAGAGGCCTCTCTTTGGCTGAGCATTAGTTTCCCTAGTAGCTCGGAAACTATGTCTGGAATTCAGTTTTTCTGCGGGGGGGGTGGAAAGTCTGGTCAGTATTTGGAAATTCTTTAAGATAACCTGCAATACCAAGCAGTTTTGAGCCTTAACTTAGTCCTTAAAAGAGAATAAATGTGTTTCATCTCTTAATAACCCATTTTATAATGGCTCAATTTTATATACATTGGAATCAGTGACAAAACTCCCATTGACTGCAAAGGAAACAGGAACAAGCCAAAAGAATCTACAGTATTTCACAGACGTATAAAATGGTGCAAAGATAATGAGCCTATTCCTTTAGGAGTTCCTCATAGACAAATATTTTAATTACAACTTTTGCTTTTTTTGTTTGTCAGACATGCATATTTAGTTGAGTGCTAACAATGTGTTCAGTGTATGCAATTCCAATAGCTTTTCATTGCATATAGCTAAGTACTTAGTACTTTCAAAGCTGATATTTTAGTGAGCAAACTTATGTATAGTGTACCAGAGATGTGAGGGACCAGTCTATGAATGCCTAGAAGGCAAATCACTTGGACATCTCATCTGTTTTCAAGCCAGAGTAATGATGATTAATATTACTAGCTCTATTCAATATTCTTGCTATTGACCATGAATGCATATATCACCTTTTAACTATGACTTCTCTAAAATATGGTTGACTTGTTATGCAGTGTTGTAACCATCTGCAAATCTGGTATTTATTTCAGAGCTCAAGAATGCCAATGAATTGGAAAGGAATTCATTTGAAGATTCATTTAAAGAGAAACAGGAATCATTAGAGGTTTGTTAGGGGTGTGATTCACAAGACTTTGCAACAATTTCAAAACCAAGGAGGGAGAGATGTTTTTGGAGAGAGACATACCCAATTTCTGGCCTCACTCTTACACTGTGTTTTTGTTTTAGAAAAAAATTGATGAATTAAAAAGGGAAAATGAATCTTTAAATGAAAAGTTAAAGTTGGAAGAGCAAAAACAAATAGACAAAGAAAAAGCAAATCTGGTAAGTATTGAGCTTAATTTTTTTAATTCTCAAATGCACAGCATGATCAAGTCTATTTTTCCTTGTATACAGTAACTGACTTCGTACCCTTTCAAGGAATGTATGTTGCTGTTTGTTACATGGTTCCATCTCTCCAGATGGATCTTCAGACATACTAAATTTGTTTAGTTTGCAAAAGTTAATGAAAATAGATACGGGATTTCTATTTTTTTTAAGGTGGTTTTTTGTTTTGGTTTTGGGTTTTTTTGGGTATTCCTAGGGTTTGCTTACAGGTAGGGACACTATCAAGTCTTCAGTTAGTAGCAAAGGTACATATGCCAGTAGAAATACTTGAAATTAGATGGGTAAATGGATAGTAATCAAAATATAACACATTTAAAAGTACACAATTGTTGAATAACAATTGGTACACAATTAGCAGTACGTTATTCTGCAATTATAGCAGTAGGTAGTTCCTGCAAAGTTAACTGTCAGAAGTATGAACGGTTTTGTATAAGTAGGACCACCGTGTGCATCTTCCAGCTTAGGATCCAACCTGCTTGACTATTCCCAAAAATACTGAGTAACTGGTTGTGATGGGTTAGACCCCCCACTTCTGGGATGCCACTTGATGTACTGGGATTTCACCTGCTCCACCAGCCTGTATTCCCTCTCCCTGTTTTGCTGAATTAAGCTCTCTGGCCTCTTGCAGTGCGTGTGCGCACACACACAGAGGTAGGGCCACACCAGCTGCAGACACAGACTGAAGTCAGCTCTGTGTGGGAGGATTCACCCAGCACTGACATGCACACCCCCTTTGGGGAATAAACACAAAATAATACTGTCTTGCGCTGTATAGAAAGATCTGCACAGCACAAGCTCCTAAAAATTCAACCACTCCCTGAAGAGAGACATGCACAACTTCTTGCCCCCCCCATTAGAAATTGCACAAACTAGCTTTAATAATAAACAAAACAAATTTATTAACTACAAAAGGCAGATTTTAAGTGATTATAAGAGATCGCAAACAGAACAAAGCAGATTACTGAACAAATAAAACAAAACACGTATACTATGCTTAAGATCTTAGAAACAGGTTTCAAGAAGTAATTTCTCACCCTAAATCTAATTTTAGGCAAGTTGCAGAGTTTCTGTAGTTTAGAGTTCCAGTTATTTCTTCTTACAGACTGGACCTCCGTCTGATGTCTACACTGGCACTTGAACGACAAAACTTTTGGCCCTATCTGTGTGTGTGTGCTGCAAGAGGCTGGAGAGCCTAAACCTTTTGTCTTTCAGAGGTGTTAAACCCACCCCCACCTGCAAAAGAGACAAGTTTTGCCAGAACAAGTGCCAATCTGAACAGAGCATTGTTGGCAGGAGAGCCGACAAGCAGCGGCTACACTGCCTGACTTTTAGTGGCACGGCTGTAGCAACACAGCCATGTTGCTAAAAGCTGTATAGTGTAGACAAGCCCTCAGTCTGGACTCACCCTTGTCTTTTTCTCAGGTTAGTTCCTTTGTCCCTTCAGGTACTTTCAGCAGTCTTTCTTCTTGGGTAGGCAATGGAGGAGAGTCTAGATCAACCCCCTCCCCAGCCTTAAAAAGGATTTACCTAAGGCAGGAAACCTTTGTTTGATCCCCATCCCCCTACAGAGGAAAAGTACCAGCAGTGTCCAAGATGATATTTTGTATCTGGTGATCTTATCACCTGACCTGGTAGTGTCACAGCTACATCCCAGGATGCCTCTCAGGAAGGAGAGAGATTAGTATCAACAAAGCCTGTTGCCAACTGTGCCCACACATCTATTCAGGGGATGCCATCATAGGGCCTAATCACATCAGCCACACTGTCATACTGGTATTCCCTGAAGTGGTCATGAGATTGACTGAAAGCAATGACTTGTTCTAACATTCTTGTAACTTCTTCATTGCATGAGTTGTTTTGGGGGCGTTTTTTGGTTAACCATAGTATTGCAATGTATGTCCTAGAAGCAACAGAGTTAAGTTTTTGGTCTGAAGGACAGCAACCAGAGCATGGTGAAGCGGGTTTTATCAAACAGTTAACTTGAATGTTAAAGGTTGAAATGTTTCTAAACTAGAGAAAATATTACTGTTGGAGGAACAAGTTAAATTTTAATATCGGGATATGAAAACATCAAGCATACTTAAAGGGATCTTGCACTTATGATTGAATTCTAAATACAAAAATGTATACAAAAAAATCTGTGGTGTTCCTGCTTTAAGAAGTGTGCTCTGAATGAGATTTTTCCTGCATTCTGGTGGGATAGGCATGTTTATCAATATTTTCAACTTGGCCTATAGTCATTTCTTAGAAGACCAAGTCAGATTTCAAGTTTTTCAGGCTACTCTAATGCTGGTAGACATCAGACACTTCAGTCTTTTCTGTGGGGATGGTTCTCCTGGTTGTCATTTTAGCTGTAGCAAACTATCAGTTTGTCTGCTTCTTGCTATTTGTAACCTGCTTCTGAAGATTTTACACAATTGTATGCTTGCGAATATGCTATGTTGTGGCAGCTACTGATGTATGTGCACCCATTAATTCACTTATGGACACAGGGTAGAGGCTTCTAGTCGATGGGTGGTCTCCTATCTCCAGTGTTTCTTTTTGAAAAGTTTTGTCTGTCCTTGTTAAGATTTACTTTGAACATGAAAGCTATAAAATAAGGTTAAAGGGCCAGATGCTGCCCTCCCTTTACACACTGTTCAGGAGACCACAGTACTAGAAAAGGATGGTCAGAGAAGACCTGAAATCAGTTTGAGGGGAGCGGAATTCAAGCAGCAGCATCCTGGCAAGACCCATAAATCATGGACACATACAGGTTTTAGAGGCCTGCAGAGCCAGTAAGTGGGAGGAGGATTTTCTATGAATTTTTCTCTTGCAGAGTGCAGAAATACTGCTGGTTTTATCTAGTGGAAACCATTGTCACTCACAGCAGAATTTATTTCCTTCCTTCCCTCCCTCTTGCTCTGCCTCCTACCAGTGCAGTGGGAGGAACCAATCGTAGCACACTTCTTGAGTTGTGTGACTGGGGAGGGAGAGATGAGGGCAGACCAGAGGGCAACATGGATGGACTCTGGGGTTGGGACCATATTTTTCCATGAATTTATTCTTCAGGCACAGAGTAGGTTGAAGGGGCAGTAGGCTCAGTGTCTTTTATGCAGCTGGAAATGCTTCTCCCAGCCTGATAGCCTGAATAGGAGAGAGTGACAGTAATTCGAGGTGAACCATGGGCTTGAGTCTTCCCTGCTTCAGATTTTTCAGTGGGAAGGATTAATTGGCCAAAACAGTTTTCTTCAGTGGCATATTTGTAACTCTTATTTTAATTTAACTTTATAAATCTGCTTTCGGAGTGGGGAAGAGGAGAAAACTTGCTTGCTGACACACGTGGTTCTGAATGTGAATTTTGAATAACTTAAGTTTTATACCAAGACTTCTGGTTTCTTTGCGCCCCCCCCCCCCCCAAAAAAAACTCAAAAAACAAAAAAACCACCAGTAAAACCTAGACTGACACCTTTTGTGTCATTTGTGTCTCCCTATCTCCCAGCTTCCTCACAACAGTATTTAGGGAAAGGATCACTCTGCCTTTTGTCCTTTGTGTACATATTATTTCATTCTTGGCCTTCTCTGAGATCAGAATCCAAATTCTCTTGCTTACTTTTTGTCCAAGGGTCCAAATAGAAAGAATCACAAATTAAGCAGACATTAAACACAGCTGCACCAATCACTCAAATATATGATGGCTAGTTAGGCTCTCACCTTAATTGCAATATGTACTGGTTGTCACCTGAAGGCCTTGCATTTACCAAAGCCCTCCATTTTTAGCCTAAAAGACTGTTGCATCAAGTTTCAGCCTGCCCCTCCGTCTGTGTGGGCTGTATCCCACAAATGTGCATGTTGTCTGGGGGTTGGGGTGAGAGAGAGGAGAGTCCTTTTCTCTCTGATGCGATAATGAAGACACTACTCAATTCAATACACCACTGTTTGCTCCAAATACACACAAACAACTTTCATCCCAGTTGCACAATTAATTTTATCTTTAAAGAAATAGACATGTTTCAACAGTGTTGGCTTCTCTCCTTGTTCTAGTTTTTACCTACATACTGACTTGGATTTAATAGGCCTTTTTCTTCTTATTGCCTGTGACTTCAGTTGTGAAACATAAACACTTTTACCATGGAAAAAGAGGCCTGGTAGAGGTTAATTTTACAAAATAACTAGGGCTGTGGATTAATCTCAGTTAACTAAAGAGATTAACTCAAAAAAATTAATCCTGATTAATCGCAGTTTTAACCACACTGTTAAACAATAAATACCAATTGAAATGTATTAAATATTTTGGATGTTTGTCTACATTTTCATATATATTGTATTCTGTGTTGTAATTGAAATCAAAGTGTATATTTCAGTTCACCTCATACAAGTACTGTAGTGCAAACTCTGTCCTGAAAGTGCAACTTACAAATGTAGGGTTTTTTGTTACAAAACTGCTCTCAAAAACAAAACAATGTAAAACTTGAGAGCCTACGAGTCCACTCAGTCCTACTTCTTGTTCAGTCAATCGCTAAGAGAAACAAGTTTGTTTACATTTACACAGGATAATGCTGCCCTCTTCTTATTTAAAATGTCACCAGAAAGTGAGAACAGGCATTCGCATGGCACTTTTGTAGCCGACATTGCAAGGTATTTATGTGCCAGATATGCTAAACGTTCGTATGCCCCGGCCTCCATTCTAGAGGACATGCTTCCATGCTGATGACGCTTGTTAAAAAAATAATGCGTTAATTAAATTTGTAACTGAACTCCATGAGGGACAATTGTATTTGAATTGCCCTGCTCCGTTTTATCTGCATTCTGCCATATATTTAATGTTACAGCAGTCTCAGATGATGACCCAGCACATCTTCATTTTAAGAACACTTTCACTGTAGATTTGACAAAACATAAAGAAGGTACCAATGTGAGATTTCTAAAGATAGTTACAGGACTGGACTCAAGGTTTAAGAATCTGAAGTGCCTTCCAAAATCTGAGAGGGATGAGGTTTGGAGCATGCTGTCAGAAGTCTTAAAAGAGCAACACTCCAATATGGAAAATACAGAACCTGAACCACCAAAAAAGAAAATCAACCTTCTGCTGGTGGTATCTGACTCAAATAATGAAAATGAACATGCATCAGTCCTCACTGTTTTGGATTTTTATCAAGCAGAACCCATCATCAGCATGGATGCATGTCCTCTGGAATGGTGGTTGAAGCATGAAGGGACATATGAATCTTTGGCACACCTGGCACATAAATATCTTGCAACGCTGGCTACAACAGTGCCATGAAAATGCCTGTTCTCACTTTCAGGTGACATTCTAAACAAGAAGCGGGCAGCATTACCTCCTGCAAATGTAAACAAACTGGTTTGTCTGAGCGATTGGCTGAACAAGAAGTAGGACTGAATGGACTTGCAGGCTCTAAAATTTTACATTGTTTTATTTTTGAATGCAGTTTTTTAGTACATAATTCTACATTTGTAATTTCACCTTTCATGATAAAGAGATTGCACTACAGTACTTGTATTAGGTGAACTGAAAAATACTATTTTTTTTACAGTGCAAATACTTGTAATCAAAAATAAAGTGAGGACTGTACACTTTGTATTCTGTGTTGTAATTGAAATCAATATATTTGAAAATGTAGAAAACATCCAAAAATATTTAAATGGTATTCTATTATTAACAGTGAGATTAATCATGATTAATTTTTTTAATCTTGACAGCCCTAAAAATAACCCTTTACAGATCCACATCACTTACTAACCAGTAAATATTAAGCTTGCTAGCAGGTACAAGTCATACCATGCAGCAAGACAATGTTAGTATAGTTGAATAATATGCAACTGTATGTTATGCAGCTAATAGTAGTATGAAAGCTGCATAGGGGAATTATAAAGTGCTGCTTTCAAACTGGAAAGAGGATTAAATGCATGTAAAATTCAAAGGTTTAAAGTTCAGCTTCTGAGTTACTCATATACAAGAAAAGTTGTTTGAGCGCTACAAAATATCTGAGTGACTCTGTGTGCATGCATGTGTACATATATATATTTTAACCTTCTCTTGGGCTTAGTTATGACTAAGAGAAAACAGGAGGGTTCTGGGGTTCTTAGCAGCCTTAACTATTAGGGAGCCTCAGCACTACTGTAAAACGAATAAGTTTTACTATGCCTGCAATAATGTATCAATTTGATCCACAAGGGTTTTTATCATTTATACAAAAGCAAATTTGTATATGTTTGGCCAGTTATCCTATTTCTTTTGAACAGAGGTTAACCTTTTTATAGAGGTTTCTTAAATTACATTTTCAAAGGGAGTCTTTAGATCTTTTTACTGAGGGACAAATGAAATTAAGGGAGAGGAGAATAAATATTCAGGAGTGGAAAAAAAAATCTTAAGTTTTTTCCTTCTGACTCAAAACCATGTCCCACTTGATTTCATAAAGTTATTACAAACACCTGATTTACAAGTGTTTACTATATACTTTTTAAAATTGAAGTTCTGAGAAATAAGCAAACTTTTGTGGAAATCATTTCAGAAAAACCCTCAGATTATGTATCTGAAACAGGAACTGGAAAGTTTGAAAGCAGTGTTGGAGATCAAGAATGAGAAACTACATCAGCAAGATATAAAGCTGATGAAGATGGAAAAACTGGTAAGATTCTGTGGGGACTGTTTTCTAAGTTGTCAGATTTTCAGTGAATTCATGCTGGTCAAGCTTAAACACTAAGCTAATTGTATACACGAAAAGCAAACAAAAATTTTGCAAAGGAGCACAAGGTACATGTTAATGTCATAGGTACAATTTTACCTGTGCTGGCCTGCAATCTGAGGAAAGATGTTTCCTGAATGATACAATAAGAGAAACAAACAGTGGAACAGAGAGAAACAAATCAAATTTCAGCCAATTTTCTGAACCGCATTTCTTCTTTCCATGCAATTTAACTTGTAAATCCTGTAAATGCTATTTTATATTCTCTCTTGACTGAAGTGGGAGAGGCAAGAGGGGAATCCCCAGGTGGCATGATTAACTTTTTAACCTCTAGACTTCTGTTCCATTTTGTTTTGGGTTGTTAAAAATAATCTGTACTAGTTAGTTACTGTCCACAATATACAATCCCCACTCTTGACAAATATCAGGTTAAATTTCAAAGCATTTACCCAATAGGACTATAAGTCTGCTACATATGAGATTCTGATTGCATGGCAGAACCTTGTGGGGAAGCTTACGTAGTCCAGGCTGGCACTATGTCACAATGCCCATCAGGCAAAAAATGTTAACGGTCACGTTAAGGAGCTTATTGAAACAAGAAAGGAAGCAACCCATTCAACATGATACAGAAAAATAAAATTATCTGAATATGTTGACAGTGAGTAAATAAGTATTTCATTTCCACCTAAAGCCTATGTTGATCTGATGTATTGGATACTACTACGGCCTCTTTAAATTACCACTCTTTGGAAACCCCTCCTATTTTTGTTGTTTTACAGTGGAAGCTCTTCGGGGCAGGAAATCCTATAATGTTTGTACAGCATCTAGCATGATGGAGGCCTTGATCCTGGCTGGGGCATTTGAGCACTAGCTGAATACTTCTGCCATCATCTTCATGGAAATCTTACCATTTAATGCAGAGGAGAGAGGCTTAAATAACAGGGAGCAGGGTCTCAGTCAGCTATTACATTTTGTCTGGGAGCCAACTATTGCCATATACCAGTGATGATTTACAAGTCATTATGAAATTCTAGACGCTTCAGTGTAATCATGGGCTCTAAAGTCTTGTTGCCCACAGGGTCTCTTCTGACTAAAGATGTTGACTTTCGGAAATCCACTGAATGTTAACCCATTTCAAAGTTGTTTTTGTTTTTAAAAGAAGCTTTTTTCCCGTGATACTAATTGGGACATGCAGGAGTGTGGCTTTTTTAGATGGGGATCAGATCACTTCTGCTAATACAGAATTGATTTTGTGGGTGGTAGTGAAGGTTGAGGGAGAGCTAGTTATATATGGAGAACATTTTTTTGAATTTTTCACCTTTCCTAGACTATATATTGCATGGTGATCTAGTGTCTCAGCCATCTGTAATGCTATATGTGAAGAGAACTGTGGCCACCAGCCCAGAAATTCAAATAGCGGATTCAGCTTTTAGTGGGCAGCTAATCAAGCAAAAGTGGCAAAATGCCAACTAAGAAGCAAAAAGTAGACTTGCCTACTAATGATGAGCAATAAATCACTTTCACGTCACTTTTACATTTCCTCAAGATAATTCTATGTATCTTAAAATAATCTAACTTGTACTTAGTGTAACAAACTCAATTTCAGGTTAGTAATGCATATAATGGGTACTTGCCAATGCAATTATTCTGTATTTTTATAAAAAACAAACATCCACATACAACCCCCAACAATTTGTTCATTTGTTAAAGGTGGAAAACAACACTGTCTTAATGGATAAAATGAAGAAGTTTCAGCAGGAAAATGAAGAACTAAAAGCTCGGATGGACAAACACATGCAACTTTCAAGGTAAAAAATAATCCAGGCATTTTTATTAACTTGTGAAAACATAAATTTTATTCTGTAAATGAATAACCAGCATCTTGCAGATTTAAAAAGGTCCTTACCCCTGTAAGATATCATGCCTGGAAGATGGAAGCATGATGCTCATTTTTCCATCCTGTCTGATATGTGCAAATCTGAAATCCTACCTGAGTTGGAATGGGTATTGTGTGGGAGGTGGAGGCTCCTTGAAACTGGTGGCAGGGTATAAAATCATGACTGTTCTTATCAAATAAGGCTAGCTCTGTTCCCCTGGAAATTACAGCTCATGTTACTGTCTTGAATGCTCGTTAACATAGTTACCAGGGAAGTAAAGGCTACTCAGGAGCACCATCTCTTACAATTAATTGCTAGATGCTCTTTTTCCCTGGAGTGAAGTGCTCCTGATTTTATAAGAACTGTTCATAGTTTTATATATTAAAATGTTTAAAATTACTCGACAATTTCTTTTCAACAGTTTGTTTAATCAAAGGGCCAATGTCTGCTAAGCCTCCTGGTTCTAGATATACAGACTACATCCAATCCAGAAATGGAGTCTGACTGTGTTAATCAAATCTTCTAACTCTGCATATGTTGCAAGAAATGAATGGGCAAACCACTGTAGAGCATACAATAAAGAAAATAGGAAGTTCAGACAAATTTTGCAGGTCTTGCACTGCAGGGAGACAAAGCTATGACATGACTCCTGACAGGGAAGATGTGAAAACACTCTTCAGCTGCCTTCATTAATAAGAGTTGAATTTTAAGAGCCTTAAACTACCCAGAATTTTGTAAAATGACTGATTCATGCAGTAATGCTGGCAAGAATAGGCTGCTGCTTTTATGCAGGATTTTTTTTTCTGACATTGTTCTGTCTTCTGCACAAGCTGCCAGTTTAGGGCTTGTCTTCACTGCAATAGTTAGCTCAAGTGAGTACATTTGAGGTACTTCACTAGAGCTAGCCTAGCTCTAGTGAGAGATCACACTATGAAACATTTGAGCTGCACAGTGGTTTGAATAGCAGTGTGATTGTATTTGGAGCTAATCAGCTGTGGTACCTGGAGCCATTGCATGTCCACTGCATGACTAGCCCTAGCTTCAACAGCACTCCAGCTTCAAGACCCACTTAATTCAAGCTAGAGAATTGTGTGTGGATGGGAGTCGAATTGGAGCAAAACTCAAGTTATAGCTCCAGCTCACGATGCAGTGAGGGCAAGCCTGTAGAACCCAGCTGTTACTTCTTGAGAACAAATGCACTAAATCCTGATAAGGAATGTGTATATTTGGACAGGGATTTGTTATAGCTTTTTTAATTCTTTTAAAACTATGTAAGATGCTCTAACTTTCAAACTGAATCATGTCCACTTACTTACAATTATTTTTTCAGGCAACTTTCCACAGAGCAGGCAGTTTTACAGGAGTCTCTAGAGAAAGAATCAAAGGTAAATAAGCGTCTATCAATGGAAAATGAAGAACTTCTATGGAAGCTACATAATGGGGACCTGTGCAGCCCTAAGAAAGTGTCACCTAGTTCTCCACCAATGCCTTCTCAGTCACCAAGGAATTCTGGCTCCTTCTCTGCTCCTACAGTAGCACCAAGATGACCTCTTTTGAAATGAGGGGGAGACTACATAAAAGCATTTCACTTGTGATCTGCAGAACTGATCCGAACTCCAATCACGGGAGCAAGAGCTATATTAGCTGAGTGTGATGACTGAATTATAACTGGAATTATTGGTGTGGAAAACTGTTCTAATATGGGAGTAAGACTTTATATTTCTCCTCCAAAAAAGACTTCAGTAATGACTATAGACATTGTTGCACAAAGCACTTACAGAGCAAGGGAAATCTTGTTCATTGCCTTTTTCACCTAACTCTAAGAAAAAAGCTCAGGGGCTTATAGATAAAGACCACAACCTCTATAATGTGTTCCTTATCACAGACACCTTTCTGAGACTGTGGATGTGTGGTGTGGATGTAACACACTGTGTGTGTGTGTGTGTGAGAGAGAGAGAGATGCTGCCTTCTTTGCTGTGTATGTAATAAAGGACAAAACCTAAAGAATATACATTGACATGTACTTAATAATGTTGTCAATATGCATGTTTTATAAAAGGTTACCCTTAACTGCGGTTGAGGAGAAACTACCACTTGTATTATAGGCTAGTTTCCACCTCATCTTTCTGCTTCTGTTTAGTAAGAGGATGGCAGGAAATGTTTTATCTGTTGACTTGTCAGTGTCTCTACCTACCTTTATAGTGCAATTGAGTGTTTTTTCTAAAAAATTCAGTCTGATCACCAGAGTTGAAACTGCAGCCATACTGTCTGAAAGCTTTTTAGCTTTCCCACTTGTAGCGGTATCATGGTCTATTAAGATGGCAGCATTGCATTTTTTCAGGATACAGTCACGTTTAGAACACTTTTTGCTAAAATAGAAGTGGGGAAGTAAGGTGATAATTCTGGAACATTGAAATTGACAATCTCTGCAACTCTACTATAATCAGAGGTCAAAACATTAAAATGACTAGATTTAGCATTAAACCCCCATACTGCAGACATGCAACCAGACCCAATCCCCTTGTCTGCTGAAAACAAACACCCAAACAAGCAACCATTACTTCCTAAGAAAAGCCCGGTAATTTCAAAGGCCACCTGTAGAGAAGAGGAGGGTCCTGATCTAATTGAAGACAGGATTTGCAAACCAAAAAGGGAAAAATAAGTAGGATGACAAAACATTCTTTGAAAGGGGAATGAGAACTGTAATAAGCTTCAAAAAGCAACTGATACCATTTCTCTGATTTTTGATGAAGTTTTGTTTTTTAAATGTTGTGCCCTTATTTTAACTTTCAGCAGTGTTACCAATATAACTGTATGGAGGGGTGGGAAGAACAACATGTGGTTCCACAGCTCACCTCTCCAATGTTTCCCAATTTCACTTGGAGGAAGTTTCCCCTTAAGTTAAAACAAACATGTCTGTGTTGCTGAAGATGGATGTAACATTTTACACTATGTTTCGAATTAAGGTAGTCACAGTGCATCTCTGGTCTTGTTACTGTTTTGGTCTGCACTTCTTTTAAAAATCCCATGTATCCTGTTTTGTAAGTACAGTTTCAACTTCTACTTATGGTTACAGAATGTTGTCTCTGCTTCTGATTGGGGGTTGTTTTTAAACCAGGAATATTCTACTGTCAACAGTGTTAGCAATAAGGTAAATCTTGTGCTTCACTGTATTTTTCCAGCAGACTGGGAAAGGAAGTCCAGTGGATGGGAGGGGAAGGGAAACGAAACTTGAAAAGCATTTCAAACCAAACATTTCATCTAGGATATGAAAACGCTGGCACTTCAGAAAGTGCATGGGTGTACAAAGTTATAGCAGTGCTCATTCTGTAACTATGAAATTGTAATATATTCAAGCTTGTAATTAAATTTAATCTACGCAATGTACAAGTGAAATCTGACTCCAGGAACATTTTACTTAATTTGCCTCTTTTTATCCCCTTTAAGGCACTGTACATGCCACTGTAGTTCAAGTGGTGTCAGCAATTATAAACACTGTTTTCCACAGATTTATAACTTAACTGTAAAAATCTGCTGTGGGCTGAAACTTGGCTTAAAAGTATTTCTTAGAGCATTCTTTGCTTTGATAAGGTTAAGGAAATTGGATCATGTATATTTGAGATGTGTTTAAAAATAAATTTTTTTTTACTCGTTTGACTTTCTGCTTGTGTAAGTCTAAAAAACCTGAAACTAAGAAGGAAAGTTGTCCAAGGGCTTAAGTAGTTGTTAACAGTTGAAATATTGAAACTTTACAATGGTTTTGTCCCTTCATGTGTAGAAGAGCTTTCATCAGTGTTCAGATAACTTATTAAATTTTTTATCCCAGCCCTACAGAACTCAGGATATCAAACTGAGTTTTGCTTGTGTAGTCTGTAGATCATAGAATCATAGAATATCAGGGTTGGAAGGGACCCCAGAAGGTCATCTAGTCCAACCCCCTGCTCGAAGCAGGACCAATTCCCAGTTAAATCATCCCAGCCAGGGCTTTGTCAAGCCTGACCTTAAAAACCTCTAAGGAAGGAGATTCTACCACCTCCCTAGGTAACGCATTCCAGTGTTTCACCACCCTCTTAGTGAAAAAGTTTTTCCTAATATCCAATCTAAACCTCCCCCACTGCAACTTGAGACCATTACTCCTCGTTCTGTCATCTGCTACCATTGAGAACAGTCTAGAGCCATCCTCTTTGGAACCCCCTTTCAGGTAGTTGAAAGCAGCTATCAAATCCCCCCTCATTCTTCTCTTCTGCAGACTAAACATCCCCAATTCCCTCAGCCTCTCCTCATAACTCATGTGTTCCAGTCCCCTAATAATTTTTGTTGCCCTCCGCTGGACTCTTTCCAATTTTTCCACATCCTTCTTGTAGTGTGGGGCCCAAAACTGGACACAGTACTCCAGATGAGGCCTCACCAATGTCGAATAGAGGGGAACGATCACGTCCCTCGATCTGCTCGCTATGCCCCTACTTATACATCCCAAAATGCCATTGGCCTTCTTGGCAACAAGGGCACACTGCTGACTCATATCCAGCTTCTCGTCCACTGTCACCCCTAGGTCCTTTTCCGCAGAACTGCTGCCTAGCCATTCGGTCCCTAGTCTGTAGCTAGATGATTATTGGATCCAGGAGAATCCTGATTATTCAGTTTCAGGTTGAACATATGTACACTAAGATACACCTCTAAAAATAGCCAGGGTACATAATTTATCCATGAAGAACTTAACTCTTTTTCAAGCATTATTGGCTAAGAACCACATTAGGTCCCTATTTTTCTAGCTTAGCTGGAAGTAGTTATATTCAAAGGGTAAGTGGTGTGTCTCGCAGTCTGTGTATAGGCAAATGTTGATTTCCAGTAATAACCATTGTGTGTTTAAGGAGCCCTTCTAGCCTTACCAAAGCATTTACTTTTAGTAACTCATTCAGAAATTGATCTATTTTACTTTCTCAAGAGCAGGGGTATTTAAAGTCTAGCAATCTGTTTCATTTCATGACTTTGCTCAAACTCCTTGGATAACAGATTAATAGCCTCCAAAGACTTTGCTATTTCTGGTCATTCTAGCAAGTGGCTTCAGAATGCACCATGGTTCATGTGAGGGATTTCTTGACAGGGAGAGGGAAGCGGACTGGAGATTTTAGTTGACGTTTAGAAAGATAACCCCAACTTTGACTTGAGCTAATTGTAAAGTTTGTGGGTTGGTGTGATTACATTCAATTTAAGAAATAGCTTAATGGTTCTCACATAGGGGAAAAAACCTTGCCATACATAACTATACAGACATCAGTTAATGGTCCACCACCTTTGTTTTGACTTCTCCCCACTTTTACCCTAAAACTCTAGGCAACAATGCAGGAGGCAGTCTCAAAAATGTAATGGTTTAAAAACAATTTCATGTTCTTACTCCTCTCTGTTATGAAGAGGTGGGAAAGTTTTGTGTGTATGGCTTTTAAAAATCAAACTGCAGATCCTAGAAAGGACTAACCTTTCTTTTTAGAGTCAGTCCTATCTGGCTGTTAGCCAGAAAAGAACTTAACGCTTCCTGCATCTGTTGTAAACTATGCCTGTTCAGAGGGGGGACAGAGTGACACACTGACTGCTGGCTAGGCCAATTGGAGCTTGATAAGCCTACCACAGCCTTGGCCAAGAGAGAAAAGGTCTTTTAGTGTAGGCAGTAGAGGCTCATGTGTTAAGATCTAGAGGTCTCAGGTGCGATCCCAAAGAGGATGACCCAGCTTTAATGTACTGTCTCCAGTCCAGTAACTTTAAAGGCAAAAAATTACAAGCATGAATACTAGAAGCCTGTTTCATAAGTAAATGTAGCACAGAACCCTAGCTTTGACAGTGTTCCTTCTCAGTTGACAGTAGTTTTTGCTTTACTGGAAAACAATTAGCCTTGGCAAGTTGAGAGGCAAACGAGTAAAACATTAGGTGAAGCTTAGTTTCAAAAACATTCCTTACATCATTAGAGTTCAATGTGCTCCAGAGAACAGTTTACAGGGGAAAATATACGCACTTGAATTTTGAGAGGCTCCTTCCCTCCTCCTTTACGGTAGGTCTCAATGCCAAGCCCCTTTTGAAAATGAAACTTCATCTTTCCAGTCAGTAAGCCAGTTGTGAAAATTTGACTGTGCTGTGTTAAATAGGAATCAGACTACTGTAGAAAAAAAGGGAGGAAAAATGTACACTGTTGCTAATAAGTCCACACTTCAATCTGGTCAGATGCATGGAACTTGAATGTGTCCTGATGAGCGGTCACTGCACTGTTGCTCATCATAATTTGTCAAAACAATTGGATAAAAATAAAATGAAAAAAACTTGCAAAAATTCCATTCTAAAAATCAGCTACATTATTGAACTTACAATCTAAAATTGCCACCTATTGATATACTCTGAATAAAGCTAGAGCAATGAAAACTTTAGCATACTTTGTAATAACCATCCTCTCAATCTAATGCTTGAAGTGAAGTCTTCCTCAGGTGATCAGTCACGTTTTACCACTTACTAAGACTATTAAGTACTGTAGCTTCACATCTGAGAAAATTCCAGAAGTAAAAATAAGATTGGCTTTGTCTCAAATATAAAGCCACTCTTTGCAACATTAACAAATCTGAGAGAAACCTATGACGTAACACACATACTGCAGTATGTGAAATACTTACACAGGGATGGTATCTTCACACTACAGTTGTAGTGATGCCACAAAAATAAACAATTCTTCATCCTGCAGCCAACCTGTATGCTGAATAAGGCATATGTAAAAAAAAACTATGTAAAAAATAGTTTGTGATCACATAATATATTACAGTCACACAAATGAAATGCCAGAATTTAGGCTGCTCATGGTCCAAGTTTTGAGGTTTTTTTGCACCCAAAAATCTTTTAATCACATTAAATCTCCCTTTTTTAGGGCTTTTTTTTTTTTTAAAGATGCTAATGTTTTATGTTACAACTAACATCTCCTCTTCCCACCCACCAGAAAATGCATCAGCAGGATTTAGCACCATAGTACAGAAGCCCATTATGTAGGGGCAGATGGAATACTAGCACCATGTGTTAAATCCAGTGGGTAGAAGGACTCTTGATCTCTCTACCCCTGAGTATGAGAGGCAGGTTGCTGCCCTCTTATAATGCCCTCAGAAGGGGTGATGGACTGCTAAGGCCGTGTGTTAGGTCTTGTGCTGCTGCTCTGGCAACTCCCTGGTATTGCCCAATGAGTGGGCTGCAACAGCAGTGGTGTGGGTCCAGAACTTTAGCATGCTCATGCAATTATCTGTGGCAAGTGCCTTGCATTTCTCAGGAAAAAGTTGGCAATAGCAGGAATATGGTACCTCAGCTAAATGGAATTGCATGGATTTAAAACAAAAAGTATTTATCTAGCACCAGGGCTTGCCTCTTGCTGAATTTCAAAAGCCTACTGCAAGTATTGCACCCTCTCAATCTTTTATAATTGAAAGCATTAGCAACTTTTATGCTTAGGTTGTCTGCCTGCTACCCCCACAATGAAAATTCTCAACACAGGAAATTACAATGATATTCAACATCAAATGTTTTGTAATCTTCATGACAATAGTTGGGTGACATCACCCCTAAAATTTTTCTCTGTTAAAATATTTGTCATTAGTAGATGTGACAAAACCCAAACTAAGAAAATTAATCATTTCCTTACATTGCTTACTGTTGTCATGAAGAGTATCACCTACGCTAAGTGAAGACTTTGGTGTTCAGAAACACTTCAGGTGCCTGAGTTTCTCTGGCCAACCACAGACATTTCAGCCTTGAGTATCACATAATTCAGACCCACACAGTGTGTCAGTGGATGATAAATGTTGGCATTTAAAACTACAGTTGCTGTATGGCAAGCCAGGAAATCATCTAGGGCTGCACTGGATAAAAATGGTCTACCTAGCAGAACAGCACCAGAAAGTCAAACTTTTTAGAGAGAGAGAGAATGCCTTGGACAGCTGCTGCACTATTGTCTAATCTCTTCTCTAGGATGGATACGCATCTTAAAATGGTGTCACACTTAATAGTGCTTGGTGCTTTTCTATCTTTTTTTCCCCTCTCTGCTTTTTTCAGAACATATTTGCGTTTTACTTGCAGCAAATGCACATCTGATAAAGAGTGGGAAGAACAAATTGTCTTGTGGTTGAGGCATAGGACTGGAAGCAGTAACATGCTGGCAGAGTTGGGGATGTTTGTTCTTGGACAAATTACTTATTTAATTCTGGAGAGGTGATTGATTCTCTTCTCCTTTTCACAACTCTAATTCTATTCATCTCAGTGGGACACCTCTCAGGATGAGAGAGAAAAATTAGGCCCTCCATGCCTCACCTTTCCTAGCCGTTAAAATGGAGAATGCATTTACTTCCAAAAAAAGGTGCGTCAGGCTTAATTCACCCCTATGGCCCAGCAATTTAAGCTCCTCCTCTGGAAGCTGCTATAGAGCTCTTACTTAGATAACCATACAGCTGCTGTGTTTGAGGATTTGCATCTTATTTCTTATTGCCTTGAGAACTGTCACCTAAGGGAGGTGGTGCTCCCACACCATTCAATGTGTTACTGAACAAAAGTCGATTTAGGATAGGTGATGCTGTCTCACTTGCTAGACATTTTAAGCAAATGAGTTATCTAATGACAAGTTTTGGAGGTACTGAAACTACTTT